ATATGTATATATATATATATATAGTATATATATTTATAGATATATATATATATATATATGTATATATATATATTTATAAATAGTATATATATTTATAGATATATATTTATAGATATATATATATATATATATGTGTGTATATATGTATGTATAAAGATCTACACATATGCATCCATATGCGTATATATGCATCTCATATAGAAGAGAATATATATATATATATACATATATATATAGCTAAATGTATTTATATATATAAGTGTATATATATGCATATATATACAAACACTAAGCCCTTAGAGATAATATAATTTTATGTTCTCACCGTCTGGGAGGCCGAAGAAGTTTGGGGCCTTTAGGGCTTCATAAAGGTATTCGCGCAGTTGCTGCTTCATGCTGCTGCTGCTGCTGCTGCTGCTGCTGCTGCTATAGGTCTCTTCCCCTCCAATGGCGAGGCCGCCGTGGGTAGGAGCAGCAGCAGCAGCAAGCCAATCAACGAGAGCGTTCTTTAAGCAGCAGCGTAGAGCAGCAGCAGCAGGAACAGCAGCAAGTGCTGCTGCAGCGTTATAACAGCCGCCCATCCACAGCAGCAGCAGCACCCAGGCTTCTAGAGAACAAACACAAAAAACAAAGCTTGCTGCGCGCTGCTGCTGCTGCTGCTGCTGCTGAGTCCCGTACAGATCCGTCGCGTGGCGATAGATATTCTCTCGTTCTGAGGCCAAGCGCAGCAGCAGCACCAGCAGCAGCAGCAACAAAAGAAGACCGAAAAAATGCATGTGCAGTAGCAGCTACGTCCGCAGCAGCAGCAGCAGCAGCAGCAGCGCGGCAGCGGCAGATGCATCGGGACGATTAGCAGCAGCAGCAACAACGACGGCCACTCGTACAGCAGCAGCAACAGCAGCAGCAGCAGCAACAGCAGCAACAGCAATAGCAACAGCAGCAACAGCAATAGCAACAGCAGCAACAGCAATAGCAACAGCAGCAGCAGCAGCAAGCAGCGTACGGTATGCTGCGTGGGCTTCCCTAAGGACCCAAAGGGAGAGACTTAGGAAGACGCCAGCAGCAGGGGCCCTCAACGTCAGCAGCAGCAAACTGTCTGCTGCTGACGCTGCAGCAATTCCGCGGGGGACGTGCAGAGACAGCCCCAAAGCAAGGCCTAGCATGCAGCCCGCTCCTGCAAAACAGCAGCAGCAGCAGCAGCAACAGCGGCAGCAGCAGCAGCAGCAACAACAGCATCAGCAGTCACGGCAGATCCTTTCGGTGGGATGTCCTGTATGAACCCTCCTTTGCTGTTGCTGCTGCTGCTGCTGCTGCTGTCGCTGCTGCTGCTGCTGCTTCTGCTGCTGCTGCTCTTGTTGCTGTTGCTGCTGCTGCTGCTGGTGCTGTTGTGGGGCCACGTTACCTATAAGGCTGTGCAGCAGCAGCAGCAGCAGCCTCTCTCCATAGGGTTTGCTGTTGAGTAGAGTTGCTGCTGCTTCAAGGGGCCCTTCGTGCTGCAGCAGATGCCAGGCGTTCTTAAGGGCTTTGCGTGTGCTGCTCCTGCCTGCAGAAGCAGCCAACAGCAGCAGCAGAAACAGCAGCAGCATGAGCAGCAGCAGCAGCAGCAGCAGCAGCAGCAGCAGCACGAGTAGCAGGAGAAAGGCAGCAATACCCAGCACAACATAGAGACAGTCTTTGAGTACTGTTTGAAATCTGCTGTCTCCTTTTGTCTCCTTTTATGATGGCTTGTCTCTCCTTCTCCATTTAACTATCTATTTATCTGTCTTTCTGTTTCTTTATCTCTGTCTCTCTCTCTCTCTCTAGCTGTGTCTCTCTCTCTGTCTCTCTCTCTGTCTCTCTCTCTGTCTCTCGCTCTCTCTCTCTCTCTTGGTCTGTCTGTTTGTCTCTCTGTTTGTTTGTCTGTCTCTTTGCTGTCTCTTTTTCTGGGTTTCTGTCTCTGTCTGAGTTCAAGTGTCTCCTTTTGTCTGTGCATGCATGCGTTTGCTGTCTCCTTCTCTGTTCTTCTCTGTGTCTTTATGCCTCCCCCTGTCTGTCTCCTTTAGTCTGTCTCCTTTAGTCTGTCTCTTTTTATCTGTCTCCTTTTATCTGTCTCCTTTGTGCTGCTGGCTGCTTTCTGCATGCATCCTGCTGCTGCTGCTCGTGTTGCTGCTGCTGTCGCGCATGTTGCTGCTGCTGTCTCCTTTTTGTCTCTGTCTAGAACTCCACGGTGTCTCCTGTCTCTGTGCAGCAGCAGCGGCAGCAGCAGCAGCAGCACTTCTCCTTACCCGTCCCATGCTCCGCTGCTGCTGCTTCTGCTGCCTCTGCTGCTGCTGCTGCTGCTGCTGCTGCTGCTGCTGCTGCTTCGGGGTTGTGTGGGGCCCCCTGGGGCAGCTGATATACTTGAGCGTCAACCATCTTTGTTGCGGAGACAGTAGAAATAAGGAGACAGTAAAAAGAATAAGAAGGAGACAGATGAAATAAATAGACAGAAGAGAAGAACTTGTAAAGGAGACAGATAAAATAAGGAGACAGAAGAAGAGAGGTATAAAGGAGACAGACAGCAGAGCTAAGGAGACAGAAGAAACAAATATTAAAGAAGAAGGTTAAAGAAAAGGAGACAGTAGAAAATCGTTTAAAGGAGACAGTAGAAAACAGAGTAATAAAACAGATTTAATAGACCCCAGCAGCAGAAAGAAATAAATGCTAGCTAGCAACAGCTGCTCAGGTGTATATACACCTCAAGATAAGCCCTATGAAGAGCAAACCCTGTCTTCTTCTGTAATTAAAATATATCAATAAAACATATTCAATCTTTTACATACAATATTAACAACCATGCTGCAGCAGCAGCTGAGACAGGCAGCAGCAGGAGACGCCGGCGCGACTGACGAGTCACCTGCAGCAGCAGCAGCAGCAGCAGCAGCAGCAGCAGGAGCGTCGTTGCTGCTTCCGGATAGATCTAGAGGAGCAAATGGCTGTCATATTATTATTAAAACAACTAAATATATAAATAAAATAATTAATTTAACTCTAAACCCTAAAAATAATGCGAGAAAATATTACTGCAGCAGCCCCTGAGCGCAGCGGACCATTCGCCGACAGCAGCAGCGGCAGCAGCAGCAGCAACAGCAGCAGCAGCAGCAGCAAACCTGTAGGAGTCTCACGTTCTTCTTTTAAAAAGTAAATTAAAATACTAATATATATATTATATAAAGGATTTATTAATTAAAAAGTATAACACCCAGTCAGAATAAAGCTGTAAGCAAGACACAGCAGCAGAGGGCTGTGCTCGTGCATGCGCTGGAGGCGTCCAGCCCCAAGGAAGCTGCAGTAATTTTATTTTTATGTTTTTTTACATCAACTTCCTCCTCAATAATCTCATTATCAGCAGCAAGAGCAGCAGGAACAGCAGCAGCAGCAGCAGGAGCTGCAGCAGCAGCGACAACAGCCGCGGCAGCACAAGCGCTGCAGCGACAGCGCCACTGTCCCTGCACGCAGGATTCAACTTTTAGGGTTTAGGGTTTAGGATTTAGGGTTTAGGGGTTACTATGGGGGACTTAGAGGCCCTAAGGGCTCAGTTTATGTCCTTACAGGCAGCCCCGCCTCAGCAGCGTATTAGCGAGAGCACCTGTCTAGATGTGCTGCAGTTGCTGCTGCAGCAGCAGCTGCTGCGGCTGCTTCCAAGCAGCAACGGGAAGGAGTTTATAACCCCAGAGAAGCTGGAGCAGGAGCTGAGACTCATGATTGCACAAAAGGCAGGCTAAACCCTAAACCCTAAACCCTAAACCCTAGGGGGGGTGGAGGGCCTACTTTTCTGCGGCTTTAAGGCGCTGTGCTTTGTCTGTCTCCTTTTGTCTCTGTTTATACTTGTGTCTCCCTCCTTGCTGTCTTCTTCTTGAGGTCTCTCTGTTATCTCTCTGCTGTCTCTTCTTCGTTTGCTGCATCTGCTGCTTCTTCTCTTGTTGTTGCTGCGTCTGTTGAGACAGCCCCTTTTGTTTATAAGCAGCGTGGTTTTGCTTGGGTTGTTTCGTATAGGGTTTAGGGTTTAGCGTTTAGGATTTAGGGTGTATTGCTTAGGGTTTAGGGTGCATAGTTTAGGGTTTAGGGTTGAGGGTGTATGGTGTATTACTTAGGGTTTAGGGTTTAGGGTCTAGGAGACTAGGGTTTAGGGTTTAGGGTATAAGATTTGCGGTATATTGTTTAAAGTCTATAGCGTATGGCGTAGTGTTTAGGGTGCATTGTTTAGGGTTTAGGATGCTCTGTTTAGGGTTTAGGGTTTAGGGTTTAGGGTGCTCTGTTTAGGGTGCTCTATTTAGGGTTTAGGGTTTAGGGTTTAGGGTTTAGGGTTTCATTTGGGGTGTATGTACACAGGGGGGTCGGTTAAACGTAGCGTGGGCTGCGCAATCTCTTGGCTTCTCTCTTGATGCAGTTATGCTGAAGGCTGGGGACTTATGCAGGAAGACAGCATCTTTGTCTCTTCTTGATGGAGACATTATCTCGTCTTCATTCCTCTCTGCTGTAGCAGCAGAGACTGAACAACAGCTACAGGTACCCCTACCGTCTACGGTCTACGGTTTACGGTTTAGGGTTTAGGGTTTGGGGTTTAGGGTTTAGAATTTAGGGTCTGGGAGATTAGGGCGTAGGGTTTAGGGTTTAGGGTTTAGGGTTTAGGGTTAAGGGTTTAGGGTTTTGAAGCTCCACGATCGAGGGTTTTTCACTCGTAGGACCCAACAGTTCATAGCTTAGGGTTTAGGGTTCAGGGTCTAAGAGATTAGGGTTTAGGGTTTAGGGTTTAGGGTTTGGGGTAAAGAGAGGGAGTCGCAGTTCTTCAGGAGCAGCGCAGGTTGGAGACAGCCGTCGAGTGTCTCCTTTTGCTCTCTGTGAATATTTCCTCTGTCTCCTTTTGTCTTTTATTGTCTCCTTTTGTCTTTTATTGTCTCCTTTTGTCTTTTATTGTCTTTTATTGTCTTTTGCTGTCCCCTTTTTGTTTATTTTTGTCTTTTTTTGTCTCCTTTTTGTCTCCTTTTGTCTTTTATTGTCTCTCACTGTCTCCTTTTGTCTTTTTATTGTCTCCTATTGTCTTCTACTGTCTCCTTTTTGTTTCTTCTTATTCCTTGCTGTCTCCTTTATTATCTCCTTTACTATCTCCTTTTGTCTTTTATTGTCTCCTTTTGTCTTTAATTGTCTCCTTTATTATCTCCTTTATTGTCTCCTTTTGTCTTCTACTGTCTCCTTTCGTCTTTTATTGTCTCCTTTTGTCTTCTACTGTCTCCTTTTGTCTTTAATTGTCTCTTTTATTGTCTCCTTCATTGTCTCCTTTTTTCTTTAACTGTCTCCTTTTGTCTTCTAGTGTCTCCTTTTGTCTTTTATTGTTTATAGGAAGAGGGGCGCGTGATGCTGTCCGCCTTGGCGCAGAAACACAGTCTGCCTCTCTCCTTCATCAAACAAGAAATACCTCAAAGGCTCTGTCCCCAACTAGAGGGTGAGGCTTTGCTGCTGCTGCTGCTGCTGCTGCTGCTGCTCCTGTGGCTGCGGCTGTTGCTACTGCTTCTGGGGCTGCGGCTGCTGCTGCTTCTGGGGCTGCTGTTGCGGCTGCTGCTGCTTCTGGGGCTGCTGTTGCGGCTGCTGCTGCTTCTGGGGCTGCTGTTGCTACTGCTGCTGCTGCTGCTGCTGCTGCAGCTCGTGCTTTGTGTCTGCTTCCTTTGTTTCTGTTGTCTCCTTTTCGTAGTCTCTTTTTATATCTTTTCTTTTTATCTTCTGCTGCTGCTCTGCTGCTGCTGCTGCTGCTGTTCAGTGTCTCTGCAGGCGGCCTCCTTGGAGACAGCAGCTTTTGCTGCTCACGTTGCTGCAGCAACTCGGGGTCTCCTCCGCGGTGCTGTGTCTCCTTTGTCTCTGACTGAAGCTGCGCAGGCCCTCGAGTATGCTGCTGCTGCTGCTACTGCTGTTGCTGCTGTTGCTTCTTGTTTTGTACTGCTGCTGCAGTTGGTCGTCTCCTGCCCCCATCAGTTTGCTGCTGCTTCTGCTGTTGCTGCTGCTGCTGCTGCTGCTGCTGCGGGCGCTGTCTCCTTTTGTGTCTCTCTGTCTCCTTATCTTTATCCCTTCTCCACATGTTTGTTTGTTTGTTTTGTACATTTTCTTTTGTCTCCTTTTTGTTTGCTTCTGTCTCTCTTTCTCTGTCTCTCTCTGTCTCTGTCTCTTTCATCTGTCTCTTCTCTCTTCGCTCTCTCTGTCTGTCTCTTCTCTCTGTATTTTTGTCTCTCTTTGTCTCCTTCACCCCGCCTCCGTTGCGTTCATCACCTGGCCACACACTGCTCTAGGGACTAAGGGTTTAGGGTTTAGGGTTTAGGGTTTAGGGTTTAGGGTTTGTGGAGTGCAGCTTACCTCTAGAGAATGTGCTGCATGCTGCGCTGGAGTTAATTAAAAATGACGAAGTCCGCGGCAGTCTGCAGGCAAAAATATTCACCCCACAACTATTCGCTAACGCTCAAGACGCAAAGGTCTGCTGCTGCTGCTGCTGCTGCTGCTGCTGCTGCTGCTGCTGCTGCTGCTGCTGCTGCTGCTGCTCCTTGTGGTGGTGGTGGTGGTGCTGCTGCTGCTTGTGCTGCTGATGCGCGTGCTGCTGCTGCTTGGTGTGCTGCTGCTGCTTGTGGTGCTGCTGCTTGTGGTGCTGCTGCTTGTGGGGCTGCTGCTTGTGCTTCTGCTGCTTGGAGTGCCGCTGCTGTTGCTGCTCGTGCTGCTGCTGCTGTTGCTTTTGCTGCCCGTTGGTGCTGCTACTGTTGCGGCTTTTACTGGTGTTGCTATTGCTGCTTCTGCTATTAGTGCTGTTGTTGCTGGTTCTGCTGCTCTTGCTGGTTCTGCTGCTGCTGGGGTTGTTGCTGCTGCTACTGTGAATGTAGATGTTGTTGCTGCTGCTGCCGTTCCCCTCGTTGCTGCTGCAGTTGCCGCTCTTGCTGCAGCGGCAGCAGCTGCTGCCGCTGTTTTAGCTGCTGCGTTACTGCTGCGAGACTGCGTGTGCTGTTCATCAGCAGCACCTGCAGCAGTAGCAGCAGCAGGCATATATACGGCGTACTTACTGCTCTGCTGCTCTTGCTGCTGCTGCTGCTGCTGCTGCTTCAGGTGTTGTCGTTCTGGGATGCGAATGGGTTTGTCTCCTTCTCGCTGCTGCAGCAGATATTTGGGGTTGAGGCGAAGGCCTATGCGAGGAGACAGCTGGAAGGAGCAACAGAACTGAGCACCGTCTTTATCAAGGAGACACTTCTGTTGTCTCCTAAAGCGGCACTCGAGGTCTCTGCTGCTGCTGTTGCTGTTGCTGCTGCTGCTGCTGCCGTTGGTCTTGCTGCTGCAGCTTTCGTTTATGTCGTTCCTGCTGCTTCGGCTGTCGCTGCTGTTACTTCTGCTGTTGCTGCTGCTCTCGCTGCTCCTCGTGCTGCTGCTTCTGCTGCGAGGTAGAGTAGGGGCCTATGCGAGCTTGCAGGTGCCTCCTGCTGCTTCTATATCTGAGCAATCCGCAACCTTGACAGCAGCAACAGCAGCAGCAGCAGCAGCAGCAGGAGTGTGTTGCTGCTGCTTCTTTTTTGCTTTTTCTTAGGAGACTCTTGCTGAGGAGAGCTGGGTAGAGCTCGCACCTTTGCTGCCTGCTGCTCTTACAGAAGGAGACTTAAAAGCTGTTGCTGCGCTGCTGCTGTCTCCTTTGGGCAGCACAAAGAAGGGGGGCCCCCAAGCACACGTCGTAGAGGGGGGTATCGTTGTCTCTGAGGCCTTCATAGCTGCGCTTACTGAAGCATTAAACCCTACAGTGCATGCAAAGGCTGTGCAAGCAGCAGCAAATGCGGCAGCTAACAAGTCCCCTGCTGCTAAACAGCAGCAACAGCAGCAGCAGCAGCAGCAGCAACAGCGAGCAGCAAAAACGCCGACCAACGCAGCTGGCGTGAGATACTTCGCTGCTGCTGCTGCTGCCTCTACAGTCTCATGCTACTACTGCTGCTGTTGCTGCTACCACGTAGCTGATGCGCTTCCACTGCTGTTGCTGCTGCTGCTATTGCTGCTGCTGCTGCTGCTGCTGCCTGCGTTGTGTGTAGGAGAGCGACTGGGAAGATGACAGCAAAAGGAGAGGCAGAAAGGGGAAGTCCTCAAAGGCTTCAGGTGTCTTTCCACCTCGTGCTGCTGCTGCTGCTGCAGCAACTGCTGCTGCTGCAGCAACTGCTGCTGCTGCTGTTGCAACTGCTGCTGCTGCTGTTGCAACTGCTGCTGCTGCTGCAGCAACTGCTGCTGCTGCAGCAACTGCTGCTGCTGCTGTTGCAACTGCTGCTGCTGCCGTTACAACTGCTGCTGCTGCTGTTGCATTCTTGCTGCTGCATTGCCACCTTAAAGGATTTCTTTTTCGTGTCTTTTGCTGCTTCTTTTTAGGGGGGAAGCAGAAGGCCTCTTCTTCGGCTGCTACGCAGCAACAGCAGCAGCACCAGCAGCAGCAAGAGCAAGGGGGGCTGGTGCTCGAGGACGTCGACGCTGCTGGGATCGCCTCGTGGGAGTCGATCCCAGAGCATATAAAGGAGGCAGTGTGGGGTTTGCTGCAGCCAAGGCTTGCCCAGGTGGGCACCCACCGCCGCAGCAGCATCTGCTGCTGCTGCAGCTGCAGCTGCAGCAGCAGCAGCAGAAGTAAAAGGCAGCGGTGTAGCAACAAGGAGACACCAAGAGAGGGGGACAGAGGGATGAACGAGAGGAGACAGTAGACAGCAGAGACAGAGCAGCAGCAGCAGCAGAAAAGAGACAGAGAGACACAAAAAGAGACAGAGAAATGAAGAAAAGATTATTCAAACTGCGAGCTTGTGTACAGGCTTTTGCTGCAGCACTTGCTACCTGCCAAGCCTCTGTGCTGCAGCAGCAGCAGCAGAAGGCAGCAGCAGAGGGCGAGTTGCTGCAGCAGCGCTACGAGGTGCTCTGCTTGGGCTTGAAGGCCTTAGAGGTAAGGGCGTCTTCCTAGCGGCAAAGTGCTGCTGCTGCTGCTGCTGCTGCTGCAGCACCAGCAGTTCCTACACCAGCTGCTGGTGCAGCAAGTTCAAGAGCAGCAGCAGCGAAGCAGCCCAGCGTTGTTGTCCGCCGTCGTTGATGCAGCAGCTGCTGCTGCTTTTGTTGCTGTTTTTGTTGCGGGGTTTGTCTCTTCAGGAACTGCAGCAGCAGCAGCAGCAGCAGCAGAAGCCGAGTCCCTTAGTTGCTTATTTGTTTAAATTTAATGCCTTTGAAATCATCGACCGACTCATCCTCGTGGCTTTCAGACATGCGAGTGGTAAGCTGCTGCTGCTGTTACTGCTGCTGCTGCTGTTGCTGCTGCTGTTGCTGCTGCTGCTGCTACTTCTGTTGCTCCTGGTGCTGGTGCTTTTTTTGCTTCTGCTGCTGCTGCTGCTAATGCTGCTACGGATTCTTCTGTTACTGCTGTTTCTTCTGCTGCTGCTGCTGTTGTTGTTGCTGTTGCTGCTGGTTGTGCTGCTACTGCGCCTGCTACTGCTACTGCTGCTGCTGCTGCCCAAGAGGCTTAGAGCACTGGCTGCCTTTTTGCTGCTGGTTTTGCTGCTGCTGCTGCTTAGGAGAGGAGGTGGAGGTCAGCAGCAACAACCGGCAGCAGCTGCTGTCTCGCCTAGCAGCAAGCCCAGACGAAGGCAGCAGCAGCACTGCAGCAGCACTGCAGCAAGCAGCAGCTGCAGCAACCAAACGCGACACCGCAGCAGTGGGGGGACTCATAAAAGAAGCAGCAGATGAATGCCACGTCTTTGTGAGTACTCTGGGGTGTACAGGCACCTCTACGCTGCAGCAGTAGCAGCAGTAAAAACAACTCTTGCAATAAATATTTGTTGTTGTTGTTCCAGCTGCTGCTGCTGCTGCTGTTGCTGCTGCTGCTGCGGCAAATACCCCGAAACGGGAGTTCGCGTGCGCATGCAATGTCCGGGGATTGCTTTGTTTGTGTGCTGCTGTTGCTGTTGCTGCTGTTGCTGCTGCTGCTGCAGTTGCGTGCACCAGACAAACGACGGGCGAAGCAGCTGCTGTCAGAGTTGCGCTCCACGTGGACAGCAGCAGCAGCATCAGCAGCAGAGCTGCAGCAGCATCGGAAGCTCTGCCACGCTGCAGCAAATCTGCTGCTGTTGAAGGTAGGAGAGTACCAGCAGCAGCAGCAGCAGCAGCAGCAGCAGTAGCCTCTCGAAGTCAACTAGCAAGAACAACCCTGTTTGCATGCATGCATGCATGCATCTGTGTGTGGGGTGTATGTGCAGCACGCTGGGGTGTATCTCGAGTTCCCCCAAGAGGATTGGGCCCTTTCTGCTGCTGCTTCTCTGCTGCAGCAGCAAAGCTTAAAGTCACCAGTAGAGGGCTTACAAGAACTTATAGCCCTCACAGAAGCCCTAAGCAATGGTCAGGGTTCAGGGCTAGGGTTTAGGGTTTAGGGTTTAGGGTTTGCTGGCTGAAAGGGGGAGAGTGAGTGCAGTGCAGAGGGCAATTTTGAGGGTTTCGTTTTCTATATACAGCAACTGAAGATGAGGGTTTAGGGTTTAGAGTAGCAGCTGTTAGATATAAGGGTTTAGGGTTTAGATAAGCACTTGTTAGAGCAAGGGTTTAGGTTTTTGAAGGCCTCCACTTGATGCGAGGGTTTAGGGTTTAGAGCAGCAGCTGTTGATCAAGGGCGCAGTTAGGGTTTTAGGGTTGAGGGTTTAGGGTTTTAGGGTTGAGGGTTTAGGGTTAACAGGGTTTCGGCTCCTGTTTGAAAAGAGGGCTTAGGGTTTAGGGTTTAGTGTTTAGGATGGCAGCTTGTTTAAAAACAAGGGTTTAGAGATGCAAGCACCACCTGTTAAGACAAGGGTTTAGGGTTTATGAGGGTTTAGGGTTTTAAAGACAAGGGTTTAGGGTTTACTTGTCTGCATGCAGGATCTGAGGAGGCCCTAAAGGAAGCTGCAGCGGCTCTCAAACCCAAAACCACCGCAGGGCCAAATGCAGCATAAATACCGCAAGGGGCCCCTTGGGGGGACCCCCAGGGGGCCCCTAAGGAGGTTCATCAGGGGGCCCCTTGGGGGCCCCCTCAAAGGACCCTAAGGAGGCCCCTCAAAGGGCTTTAGGGAGGCCCCCTAAGGAGCTGTAGAGAGGCCCCTCAAGGGGCCCTAGGGAGGCCCTTCAAGGCTCCCTTAGGGGCCCTAGGGGGGCGTCTTAAGGGTTTTCTTAGGGGACCTTCAGGGGGCCCTCTGAGGTCTTTGGGGGATCCCCTATGGGATCTTTAAGGGGGCCCCTTGGGTCCTTCTGGGGGGCCCCCTAAGTTGTTCTTGCGGGTTACCTGGGCCCCTAGAGGGGTCCTCTTGGGTCCTTTAAGGGGGCCCCCGTTGGGTTTTTTTAAGGGGCCCCTGCACCCTTTGAAGGGGCCCCCCTACATGGGGCCCTTTGGGGCCTTCAAGGGTTTTGGGTTGTCTAGAGTTACCCTCTGGTTGTATTTCAAAGCCTCATTAACTTCTAGAAGGGATGCGTGAGGGACAGTTAAGAGGGTTTAGGGTTTAGGGTTTTAGGGTCCCAAGGGGCCCTCAAAAGGCCCCTTTAAGGGGATTGAAGGGGCCCCAAAGGGCTGCTGCCTAGAGCTTAAAACAACTTCAGGGGCCCCCTGGGGTCGTGGGTTTCATACAGCTTTGTTCAGGCGGTTTCTTAAGGGTTTAGGGTTTTATTAGAGTTTAAGGTTTCATAAGGGTTTAGGAGAATAGGGAGTCTTAAGGGTTTAGGGATTCATTAGTTAGGGTTTAGGGTTTAAGGGTTTGGGGTGTCCTCGGGGTATAGGGTGTCTTAATAAGTTGAGGGTTTCTTCAAGGGGTTGGGGCTTCTTAAGGGTTTAGGGGTTTCTTGAGGGTTTAGGGTTTAGGGTTTACCCAACCAAACCCCAAGTTAAGTAACAGTAAACCCTAAACCCTCGTTGCAGCGAGGGAAGTTTTATTAAGTTTCAAAACCCTCGAGGTTGTCGCTAAACCCTAAACCCTAAACCCTAGTCTTCTTTAAACCCTAAATCATAAACCCTGAGGCAAACCCCCCTCATCCAGCACCTTAACAACCTTCATTCACCTAACAACTTAGGGTTTAGGGTTTACAAGTAGGGGCCCCCCTATCATTTGGGGGCCCATAGGGGGCCCCTTTAGGCCTTAAGAAAAAGGGGGCCCCTTTAGGGGGCCCCCCGCTAGTCTAAATAATTATGTGTTTGTTTTTAAATATTTGCATGCAGCAATAATAACATCTACTTCAAACCTGAACCTCTACATACAGGGCTCAAGTAGAGGTATGGGGGCCCCTCTGGGGGCCCCCCGTCGGGGGCCCCCCTGCAACAGGGGCCCCCAGGGGGCCCCCCAGGCTAGTAGGAGGCCCTGCTTGCAACGTGTTGAGAAGATCGATGAAATTGTTATTTGTTTAAAAGAGTGTTTTGTTTATTTTTTTCAGCGACAGAGGGAAAGGAGCAACTAAGAGCAGCTTCACCCAATAATGTTTGCAGCAGCTCAGCAGCAGCAGCAGCAGCAGCAGCAGCAGCAGCAGCAGAAGCAGAAGAGCACTCACCAATATCCATAGGCGACAGTCACTACAACTGCAGCAGCTGCAGCAGCAGCAACAGCAGCAGCAGCAGCAGCAGTACGCTCAATGCTTCCGTTGCGTCTCTGTGCTACTTGCCTGAGGGGCCTCCCATGGCTGGGGGCCCCCCTTTCTCATCCTTATCACTTCTCCCTCCGTCTGCTGTCTTCTGCATCGCCTTCACGCTCTCCAGCGGCTCCGCCTCATAGTTCTGGGGGCCCCTCAGGGGCCCCCAAGGACATCCCAGGGGCCCCTAAGGACCCATCAGGGGCCCCCAAGAACCTCCAAGGGGCCCCTAAGGACCCGTCAGGGGCCCCTAAGGACCCGTCAGGGGCCCCCAAGGACCCATCAGGGGCTCCAAGGGAAGCTTCTGGGGCCCCTAAGGATCATTCAGAGGCCCCCAAGGACCCAGCAGGGGCCCCTAAGGACCCTCCAGGGGCCCCTAAGGACCCATCGGGGGCCCCCAAGGACCCAGCAGGGCCCCCCGGTGTTGGTGATGATGAGGGGTCCCCCCTTGACGAGTTTGTGGAGGGGGGGCCCCCATATCGTGCATGCGGTGTGTGGGGCCCCCAGGAGATAGACTATGAGGCTTCTAATAGAGTATGTATATCTTCTTGGGGTTTGTTTGTTAGAGGATTAAACCCTTTATATGAAGGGCGACAGAAGATGTACAAAGAATTAACATCAAAAGGCATAGATGTAGAACAAATGCAAAAAGGAGAAGTAACAAACCTCACAAAAATGATAATGCAACGCGAGGTGTACGGGGATCGGTTCCCACGACTACCCCACACTCTTTCTTTTGAAGATATTATCCAACAACTCCGCGAAAAGTATCCCCTTAAAAACAAGAAATAGCTTTGTTTGATTTATAAATAATATATATATATTATATACATATTATGTATATAGAGGACAGCGATATACAAACACATGCACACAACTATATCAGCCCGGTAGAAACAGCACAGCAGCAGCAGCAGCAGCAGCAGCAGGACGTGCAGCAGCAGAAAGAACTCCAACAGCAACAACAGAAACAACTCCAGCAGCAGCTGCAGCAGAAGCAGCAGCAACTCCGCTGGCAACAGAAGCAGCATCAGCAACAGCCCCAGCAGCAGCAGCAGAAGCAGTAAGAGCAACAACTCCAAGCCCTCTCCTCCCTGGGGCCCCCAAGGGGGCCCCCTGGGGGCCCCCTTATTTAAGGTGTCTCCATTGAGGAGACGGACGGCCCCGAGCTGTCTACTTTGGTGCTAAGCATGCAGCAGCAACTGGTGCTGCTGCTGCTGCTGCTGCTGCAACTTATGTTGCTGCTGCTGCGGCCTCCTGGCTTTAACTTGAGGTGTCTTCTTGTTTGTTTTTGTTGCTGCAGCAGCAGCAACAGCAGCAGCAGCGTTAATGTTTGTGTTGTAAGGGTTCAGGGTTTTGCAGTGTACAGGCAGCAGAGGGGACCCAAAAAGGAGACACTGTCTCCTCCCTTTATATATAACAACATCTACAAAGAAAATATATATAATATAGTAGATATATATATATATATACGTTTTTAACCTAAGAACATCAAAGGCTCAGGCCTTTTACTCTCTCTCGGTCTTGTCTCTCTTCACACCTTACTACAGAGATATATAAATATAAATATATATAAATAAATATATATAATCTACTTATATATATATATATATTATTTTTATTAAAGTGGATGTGTCTGTACAGCTGCTGCTATAGAAAAAGTTGGGTCGTTGGAGAAGAATAAAAAGACAAAAAAGGAGACACAAAGGAGACACAAAGGAGACACAAAGGAGACACAAACAAACACAAAAATTATATAACAATCCCACAACCCCAACAACGTGCAGCAGCAGCAGCAGCAGCAGCAACAGCAACAGCAGTAACAGCAGAATCATCCCTTGTTGCTGCTGTTGTTGCTGACACTGCTGCTCCTGCTGCTGTTGCTATTGCTGCTGCTGCTGTTGCTGCTGCTGCTGCTGCTGCAGCTGCTGCTGTAGCTACCGCCGCCAACGGATGTGGCGAGCAACAGCAGCAGCGGAGGCTACGATCCCAGCAGCACTTTTTTTTGTTGCAATCCTTAAGATGTCTACGGCCAAGCTACCCGCTTCATCTCTAATGCTGCTGCTGCATCTGCTGCTGCTAGTGCTGCTGGTGCTGCTGCTGCTGCTGCGCTTGCTAATTTTGCTGCTCGCACGCCTTCGGCTCAATTTGAGGGTCTCCTGACCGTCTCCTGCAGTCTCCCCGCTCCCCGTCTTCCCTCTTCTTCTGCTGCTGCTTCTGCTGCTGCTGGCGTCGCTGCTGCTGCTGCTGCTGCTGCTGCTGCTGTTGCGTAGAGAGGAAGCAAGGAAAGACGCGCCGAGCGCTCCCAGCAGCAGCACCAGCAGCAACGCAACAGAAAATCGCAGCAGCAGCAGCAGCATAGTTTGTACACCCCACAGCAGAGGCCTCATAACTAACCACTCGGCTAAAAACAGCAACAGGTTTAAGCTGCACATACACCGCAACAAGCAGCAGGCAGCAGACCGCAGCAGCAGCACACGCTGTACATGCAGCTTCTTCTCTCACACAACGTACACCACCCCAAACCCTAAACCCTAAACCCTAAACCCTCTAAAGCGCACAAACGCCCCAACACATTTAATTTCAAAACCCTTAAAGTGTATAATTTAGGGTTTAGAGAACGGAGAGGTTTGGAAGCGAAGAAGACCGCTTCAGATTAAGGGTTTAGGGTTTAGGGTTTAGGGTTTAGGGTTTAGGGTTTACATGAAGCAGACACCTCCCCAGAAGAGGCAAAAGAGAGATTTAAAAGGGGCTTCCTTTGGAGTCCTCGACCGCCAGCTCTTCGGATGTGCAATCCGCCTGCTGCTGCTGCTGCTGCTGCTGCTGCTGCTGTCCCACGCGAAGTAAGATGAGTCCGCAGGCAGCAGCAAACCACCGGGGTATGTGGGGTTGGCAGCAGCTGCAGCAGCAGCAGCGTGAGACTGCTGCAGCAGCTCATAACGATGCTGCTTCTCCCCGCTTCCTTCCGAGAACTGCACACAACTCGCAAACCCTAAACCCTAAACCCTAAACCCTAGATCCTAAACCCTAAAGCCTATTCCCAAACCCTAAACCCTAAACACTTCAGAAACAACCCTTGACAGTATCCTTCAAGGCTTCAGCCAAGACCTAAACCCTAAATCCTAAGCCCTAAACCCTAAACCCTACACGGCGCACCGCGAAGGTGGAGACTCCCAGCAGCAGCAGCAGCCCCAGAGAGCAAAACAGCAGCAGCAGCAGCCACTGCCTCTCCCGCCGCTGCTGCTGCATGTGCTGCTGCAGCATTAGGTTCTGCTGCTGCAGCAGTGAGATCAGCTCTTTATCTGATGCAGCTGCCACAACGCTGCTGCTGCTGCGGCTGCAATAGAGCCTCGGAAGTCCAGCTGCTGCTGCTGCTGCTGCGGCTGCTGCTGCTGCTGCTGCTGCTGCACTTGGCTCCGCAGCTGCTGCCAGTTCGTTCTTCGTGTGGAGTGTAAACACTGAGCGTTGAAGTGCTGGGTGCTGCGTTGCAACGCTGGTGTTGCTGCTGCTGCTGCTGCTGATGCTGATGCTGCTGCTGCTGCTGCTGCTTCTGTTGCTGTCGCTGCTACTGCTGTTGCTGCTGCTTCTGCTGCTGTTGCGCCCACCAGAGGTGGTGGTGCTGCAGTAATAGTTAAGGGGGTCTTCGTAAGTGAGACGGCTGCTGTCTAAGCCAGTGGCGCTTCTGCTACAGCCTCTTCCTGCTGCTGCTGCTGGTGCTGCTGCTGCTGTTGCTGCTGCTGCTGTTTGCACTGTCAAGCTGCTGAAACTCTTGCTGCACGAAGGACCCAGTTGGCTCCACGTTGTCCTGACGCCGTTGCTGCTGCTGCTGCTGCTGTTTCTCCTGCTGTTTCTGCTGCTGCTGCTGCTGCTGCATTCAATCCCATCACTACTACTACTACTACTCGTGCTGCTGTTGCTGCTGCTGCTGTTGTAGTTGCGCCGGATAACTGGGGTGGACAAGGAGCTGCTTGAAGCAGCGGAAGGTGTTGCTGCTTCCTGCTGCATCAATCCAGAGAAGCGAGTTGCTGCTCCTGTTGCTGCTACTGTTGCTGCTGCTGCTGTTGCTGCTGCTGTTGTTGTTGCTGCTGCTGGAGATGCACGCCTGCGCAGCGCTGGCGTTGAGTCTCCTGCAGCAGCAGCAGCAACGGCAGCAGCAGCAGCAACATCAGGGACGACTCCTTGTGCTGCTGTCCTCAGAGACAAACAGCGGGAGTTGCTGCGAGCCTTCTCACTTCCTTCTGCTGCTGCTGCTGCTGCTGTTGCTGCTGCTTCAGGTGTCTTCGCCGTCAGAGTATAGCTGAGCCGCGAGCGCCGGACCGACTGTGAGAGTTGAGGCGTAGCAGCAGCAGCAGCAGCTGCTGCTGCTGCTGCTGCAGCTGCTGCAGCAGAATCAGCAGCAGAGTTATATGAGACATATGTGGGGTAAATCCCTGTAACTCCCTCTGATTTTGGCTGGAACGTGTACGCTGTTTGCTCTTGCTGCTGCTGCAACAGCAGCTGTTGCTGTTGCTGCAGCAGCTGCTGCTGTTGCTGCTGGAGGGTGGCGATGCCTGAAGGGAAGCTCCGCTGTATTGACACCCCAGAATCTAAATTAAAGGTTTGCTGCCGTGTCCAGCACAACTGTGGCCCAACTGGAGGCAGCACCTGCTGCTGCTGCTGCTGCTGCTGCTGCTGTAGCTGCTGCTGCATGAAAGAACTGACGGGCTCGCCAGAGACGCTAAGGACAGGGAATTCCCGCTGCTGTTGCAGCACAGAGCTGAGTCGCTCTTGTAGGCGTGTTTGCTGCTCACTCTGTTCCTGCTGCCGTTGCTGCTGCTGCTGCTGCTGCTGCTGCTGCTGCTGCTGCTGTTGGTGCTCCCTCGCCGCTTCCAGCTGCTGCAGACGACGGCTCCTCCGGACTCCCGGGGGTGTGATAGTTTTTGCTTCCTCAGTTTGCAGCTGTTGCTGCAGTTGATGCTGCAGTTGATGCTGCTGCAGCTCAGGCTGCTGCAGCAGCTGCTGCTTGTTGCTGTTGTCTTTACTTCGGTAGCAGTACCCGCCAAGGCTAGAGAACGAGGGCGGGCCGAGTGTAGAGGTTGCTGCTGCTGCTTCCTCCGCTGCTGCTGCTGCAGCCAGTGCAGCAGCTGCTGCTTCCGCTGTCCCTGGTATAGAAGTCATTCTGGCGAGTCTGCTGCTGCCGCCACTGCTGCTGCTGCTGCTGTTGTTGGTGCTGCTGCTGCTGTTGCTGCATTTGGTGAACAAACTACGGTCGCCTCCCAGCCACAAGTATCTGTTTCAGGTGTCTATACAGCGGAGATAAACCCGACGCAGCAACCTGCTGCTGCTGCTGCTCCTGCTGCTGCTTTTGCTGCTGCTGCTGTCGGAGCCGCTGCTGCTGCTGCTTCTGCTTGTCTGCTGGAAAAAGATAAAAAGAAGTTAAAAATAAAGAAGAAATGAAAGAAAATAGAGATAGCAAGGCCAGACATACACAGCGCTGTATCCACCAAGGGGCCCCTGGGGGCCCTAGTGCAGCAGCAGGCGCAGCAGCAAGATGCCGACACTTAGAAGCTTAAAAAAGGAAATCTACCTGCTGCTGCTGCTGCTGCTGCTGTCGCTGCTGCTGCTGCTGCCGCCGCTGCTGCTTCTTTTCTTCGTGGTCCTGCTGCTGCTGCTGTTGCTGCTGCTGCTGCTGCTGCTGTCGCTCGGCCGGTGGTCGCCTTCGTATCGGCGGGGGCCCCTCCTCTGCTGCTGCTGCTGAGGTTAACTCTATTTGTCTTTTTATTAAATTTTATTATTTTTAATTTAAACATTAAATTGCTGCACAAGGGTTGCTATAAGAGCCTAAAATATCCCCCGGATCCCATTACCTAAAGCTGCTTCTGGTGCTACTGCTGCTGCTGCTGCTGCTGCTGCTGCTGCTGCTTCTTTTTTTGCTGCTGCTGCACAGTGTCCCTATACACTTGAGTTTGCATTATTATTGATTAAATTAATAAAAGAGAATTTGCTGCTTTTCTACTTCAATAAAGTTTCTGTGAATTAGTGTTGAGGCTAGCCAGACCCCCGGGTGTCTTACAGATATAAACAAACAAATACATAAAAGATATTATTTATTTGTTTATATCTTGTTTATAAATAAATAAATACATATGTATATATATATTCATTCATAGGCAAACAAATGCGTATAAGATATGTATATACATATGTATATTTGTTTGTTTATATCTGTCACGTGTACAAATATATTTATAAACAAATATATGCATGTATATATATATATATATATTATTTGCTTATATTTGTATATATATATTATATTTGCTTATATTTGTTTATGGCTTCTACATATTAGAGAGGACAGTAGCGCTGCAGCTTTGATGTTTGTTTCTTAGTTAGGGCTTCTCACGCAGGGGCAGCCTTTATTGTGTCTCTTTATTAAGAGTTAATCTTCTTATGTCTTTATCTGCAAGTGAAGAGGAGTCTTAGATTATAACAGCAAAGAACTGCTGCGGGCTGCATTAAAACAAAGGCATTCAATATAAAGCAGCACAAACAAATGCATCAGCTTGTCTGATATACAGTCTCAAGGGGCCCCTCTAACGCAGCCGTAGAAGGGTCTTGCAGTAATAGATAGGAGAGGATAGGGGGCTGCCTACTATGAATCGCATTGCTTTCTTGCTAATGCGGCTGCTGCTGCGGCTGCTGCTGCGCCTGCTGCTGCGGCTGCTGCTGCGGTTGCCCTGCAGTTGCCGTGCAGCAGCAGCTGCTGCTGCAGTTGCTGTTGCAAGACAACCCAGTAGATAAACATAGCTAACCCCACTTTTGCTGCACTCCCAAACACAAGTCAGGGCTACTGCAGGCAGTAGACACGGATGATAGAAAATTGTTGTGAAGTACGCAGCCTAGACGCAAATAGAGTGCTGTTATACACGTATAGACCTCAATAGTATCGTCTAGAGACAGCGTATTAGGCTGCAAGCGAGCAAAAGATATATATAACAGCTTCATACCTACCCAGCTAATCTCTTCTCATGCATGAGCATCGGGCAAAGTATAGTGGAGGTCCGCTGCTTATCACTGCTGCAACTGTTCGGGTGTATTGAAGACACCTGCAGATCTCTGCATCATCTATATATATATCTATATATATATATATGCATATATATAATATATAAGGCGTGCGCAATTCTCTCCTTTTGTCTCCTCCATGCACCCGCAGCAAGGGTGCATGCATTTCTCACATAGAGATTACAACTGTGTCTCAGAGTATTATTTGGCGCCTAGCTGTCACGAACGCAGCGGCAATAACAACAGCAGCAGCTGCATCAACAGCAACAGAAAGAGAAGCAGCAGCAGCAAGGGAGCATGTATTTCTCGAGAAGCAGCAGCAGCAAGGGTGCGTGTATTAGACAAGTGCACAGAGACAAACTCGAGAGCTACTTCTACAACTGTGCTAAGAACCAGATGAAGGAAACTGCTGCTAGGGCTTCTCCTTACCTCCTTAAGTGCTGTCACGAACGCAGCGGCAATAACAACAGCAGCAGCAGCATCAGCAGCAGCAGAAAGAAAAGCAGCAGCTGCAAGGGTGCATGTATTTCTCACAGAGAGATTACAATTGTGTCTCAGAGTAGGAGGCGGCCCGTAGATAAAAATATAATACTTATTAGTAATAATGATGTAGATAAATTTTTATTTTAAAATACTATTAAAATAAATATTAATATTAAATATTTAAATATATTATATTTTATACTAAAAATAACAACTATAGCTGTGGCTCCGGTGTATGTCTCTGTTGCACTTCTGCTGTTTAAACCCTGACAAACCCCCAAAGGCGTGTAGCAACAACGCATTGCGGGTGCATGCACAAAGAAATTAATCTTTCTTTGGAGACTGTCTCCTTTCCCTGGGGACTGTCTCCTTTCTTAGCTTTAGTATCCTATAGATAATTTATTAATAATTTTGTCCGTCTACGGCCTTCACTCAAATGCAGGAGAAGACAAGAAGGCGAAGAGATAGATCCATCTGCAAAAGCCAAGACACAGCCTCTAGAGACAGCAGCTAGGAGACAGAGACAACTGTCTCTTCACCGAGAACACAAGAAAAACGCAAAGGGGACACTCGACGCACCAGCATGTCCTCCACTAAGAAGAGAAAGAGAGAGAGCGAAATATATATGTATATATAGAGAGAGAGAGGTGGAGAGATAGAGATAGATAGATAGATAGATAGATAGAGAGAGAGAGAGAGAGAGAGAGAGAGAGACAGAGAGAGACAGAGAGAGAGAAACAGAGAGACAGAGAGAGAGAAACAGAGAGACAGAGAGTCTCTCCCTCTCTTCACTTTGAGGTCTGTTTGCCTGCTGTATATATCGCAGAAGATAGAAGAAAGCCTGGGCATAAGGAGCTTCCTTTAGATCTTATACCTGTCTCTTCAGGGTTTCTAGCTCAGTAGTGGGGTGTATGCATATACACCTGAGGCGCCCCTCTGTATGCTGCTGCGCCTCACCATATTTCTGGTGTACATACACCTCAACTGCGTACTGCTCGTAGAGTTAATCTTTCTCAGGGTCTTAAGGAGTCCCTTTAAGGCCCTTAGAAGAGAGGAGACACCCCTTAAATTACTTTTAAAAGAAGTCTAACTTAAGAAGCAGACTGTCTCCTTCCTCTCCTGCATTGCTTCTAGGTAAAGAAACTCCAAAGGCCTGCAGTTGGCCTGCAGAGGAGACAGCGGAGACACTTTTAGTGGTGGAGAGGGCCTTAGGCAGCAGCACATTTTGCTGAAGCTGTCTCCTTAGACCCTGTATATATATATATATATATATATATATATACATTTGTATATATCTATGCATATGTATACATATATATATGTATATATATACATATATATGTCAAGAGCTCGCAACAAACTTCTCTATACTGTGGGCCCCCTCTTCTTTTCTTACTAACGAGAAGTTTAATAGTAAATGCATAGGGAGTATACAGCATCTGCTGCTGCTGCTGCTGCTGCTGCTGCTGCTCCTGGCGCCCCCTGTCTCCGTGTGTTGCTGCAGAGAAGTCTATACAGGGAGAGGGGCCCTTATTATTGAGTTAGTAATAAAAACAAAGAAATATTTATATTGAATTAAATAATAATTATATTGCTGCTGCTGCTGCTGTTGCTGCTGTTGCTGCTGCTGCTGCTGGTGGTCCAGCTGCTGCTGCCGCTGCTGCTGCTGCTGCTGTCCGCTGCTCCCTAAGACTTTGGGTGTGTTTGGGGCTTGCAGCTGCTGGTTGAGTTTGTCTCCTTTCTGCAGCAAAGAAGGAGACAGTTTGTTTCTTTATGAGGTGTCTCTGCAGCTACTACCCAATAGGGAGCTCTCAAAGAGAAGGGCAGGGGCCCCCAGCTAGGCTAGAGCTCGCCAGGGTTAAGCTCCTTGGTTAAGAGAGGAGACAGCTGTCTCCTTTTCTTTTGTCTCCTTCTTTAAAAGGAGACGAGCTGGAGAGACTTATTTGTCTCTCCTTCTCAGGTGTACGTACACCGCAACTGCAGCCTCAGATCCCCCATAGCCCTGAGGAGCAGCAGCAGCGGTGTTTGTCTCTGTCTTTCTTCTCTTCTTCTTCTCTCTTCTTCTTCTGCTGCTACCTGTGTGGGGTTTGTCTCCTTAGAGACACCCCGCGCCTCTGTCTCCTCTCCAGGTGTATATGCAGCTCAGCCGCTCGCTAGCAGTCTAAAGGGAGACTCTCTGTCTCCGCTTCTTCTTAGAAGCCTACCCCCTATTTCCTTGAGTTAATATCTTTTTATTAGGAGACAGATGCATGCAGGCCCAGAGCTCAACAGCTGTCCCCTTGCTGCAGTGCTTTAGGGGTGTTGAGCAGCCTCCTTTTGCTGCTGCTAGAGGCTGCTGCTGTTTATAACAAGCTGTCTCTCTCTGTCTTTGTCTTTGTTTGTGTTGCTGCTTCGTCTGTGTCTCCTCCTTGTTGCTGGAGCACCCCAATGCATCTTCGCAGCAGCAGCAGCAGCAGCAGCAGCAACAGCTCTCGCTGTGCGCAGGCTGCTGCTGAGGAGACAGTCTCGAGCAGCAGAGACAGCAGCTGCCTCTCTCCTCTTCAGTTTGTTTAGAAGAGGAGACAAACAAACATAGAAAGGAGACGCTGATTAAATATGAAGGAGGAGACAGACCCAAGCATTTGCAGAGAGACAGCCATTGTCTCTTCCTGCTCTACGGGCCTCGCAGCAACACGCATGCATGAAGCTTGTACATGCAGCAGCAGCAGCAGCAGCAGCAGCTTGTGCTGCTGCACCAGCAGCAGCAGTGCAGTAACACCAGCATCAGCAACAGCAGCAGCAGCAGCAGCAGCAGCAGCAGCTGCTGCTGCTGCTGCTGCTGGCAAGAACAAGGGAACGCTGTCCCTTGAGAGGCTGCTTTACGCAGCAGGTGTCTCCTCTTTGTGTCTCTTGGTGCTGTCTCTTTGTTTGTTTGCTTCGGGGCCTCATGGCTTCTTGGGCAGTGGTCGCGCTGGAGGGGCAACAGCAGCAGCAGCAGCAGCAGCAGCAACAACAGCAGCGGCGCCAGCAGCACCCACCGCAGCAGCAGCAACGGCAACATCAGCCGCAGCAGAACAGTCTTTGTTGTTCGTGCGGCGCCTCTCGGCAGAGGGGAGCGCTGCTGCAGCAGCAGCAGCAGCAGCAGCAGGAGACAGTGCCTTCAGCAGCAAACAGATATCTGATATGCGGGGATGGAGAGACATACTGGGCATTGTTATAATTGCTGTCTCCTGCATCGTGGCTGTCTCTGCAGGCACTGGAGGTGAGGAGACTCTTACAAACCCTAAACCCTAAACCCTAAACCCTAATTCTTAAACAGGGGCGCTGATGGGGGTTCTTATGCGTGCAGGGCTCTGCGCACCAGGCTTGACGCTCTAGGGTTTAGGGTTTAGGGTTTGTGGTTTGTTTAAGGGGTTCTATATACGTGCCTACCTTATCTCTAGTGATGGATAAGTGCTTAGGTTTTAGGGTTTAGGGAGTGTGTAGGGGGTTCAATATACGCGCCTTTCTTGTCGCTGGTGACGGATGAGGGTTTAGAGTTTAGGGTTTAGGGTTTAGGGTTTATGGTTTGTTTAGGGGGTTCAATATACGTGCCTATACTGTCTCTAGTGATGGGCTTTGAGGCACACGCTGCAACTTCAATCAGCCAGGCGTTGATGTGCGGCGGAGTTTTAGCAGGGACTCTGCTCTGTCTCTGCAGGAGACACCCTTATGTTGATAGGCCTCTTATAGATCTTGATCTCGTATGCTGCTGTTGCTGCTGTTGCTGCTGTTGCTGCTGTTGCTGGTGCTGGTGGTGCTGGTGGTGGTGGTGGTGGTGGTGCTGCTGCTGCTGGTGGTGGTGGTGGTGCTGCTGCTGCTGTTGCTGCTGCTGCTGCTGTTGGTGGTGGTTTCACCGCTGCTGCTGCCTGTTCTGCTGCTGTTGCCGCTGCTTGCGCATTGGACGTTGTTGCTGCTAGCGCAGCTGTTGCATGTGCTGTTGCTGCTGCTGCTGGTGTTTTTGCTGCTGCTATTGGTGCTATTATTATTATTATTATTGCTGCTGCTGCTGCTGCTGGTTGTGTTAATGCGTATGGGCTGCTTGTTAGGTTATATTGCTGGCGCCGGCTCAGCTAGTGGGTGTCTCCTTCGGGATGGTGTTGAATAACTGTCTCCCTGCTTGGCTGTTAGTAATATGTTTAGTTGCGGTGTTGAGCGTAGCAGTAGCACAGACAGCGAAGCAGTATTTGAGATTGCTAAGAGCAAGGGGACAGGCTCTGCAGCAGGCTGTCTCCTCAGCTGTTATGCAGCACCCAGACACAGACTGTCTCCAGAACAGGGTCCCTACTGTCTCCTCTACTCATCTACTTGCTAATTGCGGAGAAGCAGACGCAGCAGCAGCAGCACCACCAACAATAACAACACAAGCTACAGCAGAAGCCTCAGCAGCAGTAGCAGCAGCTGCAGCAACAGCACCACCACCAACAGCAGCAGCAGCAGCAGCACCAACAGCAACAGCAACAGAAGAGGCAGCAGCAACAGAAGAAGCAGCAGCAGAAACAGCAGCACCAGCAGCAGCAGCAGCAACATGGGAGCTGAGAGTTGGGCTTCCACCCAGAAGAGACAGCAGCAGCGCACAAGGTCTGTACACCCCAACATCAGGGGGTCTCTCGTCCTGTCTCCTTTTTGTGTCTCCTTTTGTGTCTCCTTTTTGTGTCTCCTTTTGTATCTCTTTCTTTGTCTTCTTCTTTGTTTTTCTGTCTCCTCCTCTGTCTTTTGCTTTTATCTCTGTCTCCGTATTGTGTCTCCTTTGGTGTCTCTCCTCTTGCGTCTGTCTCTGTCTCTGTCTCTGTCTCTGTCTCTGTCTCTCTGTCTCTGTCTCTCTCTTGCCTCCACTGCTCTTTATTGCTCCTTTGCTTGAGCGACGGAGCTCATTGATGGTGCTGCAGACTTCTTCTACTTTGTGTGTCTCCTCCTGTCCCTTGCTATTATTATTATAGGTTTGTATTTAGAGACAGGGGCTTGAGGGACAGGTGCTGTCTCTGTCTCTGCTGTGTTGCTGCTGCTGCTGCTACTGCTGCTGCTGCTTCTGCAGCTGCTGCAGCTGCTGTAGACGATCCTCGGAGCAGCCCGTGCAGCCAGGCGCTGCAGCAAGGAGACACCGTTTCGATAGGGACAGGGTCTCCTGCTGCTAAAGTAATGCTGGGGGTTCAGAGTGCAGACAGAGGCAGAAGGGCGCGAAGAGAGTATACTGAGGAGACAGAAGGAGAGACAGCAGGCAGCACCAACAGCCCCCCTACAACTGCAACGGGAGACCCTTCAGCTGCTGCTGTTGCTGCTGCTGCTGCTGGTGCTTCTGCTGCGGGAGACCTGCCTGCTGCTGCAGCAGACATTCTCCTTACTCCTCCATCCATAAAGAGAACACGCAGGAGACACCTCAGCCTCAAGAGGGCCCGCAGGCGTCTCCGTGATATTCAGCGACGGCATGACATCTTAGTCTGTCTCTCTGTCTCCTTTTGTCTTTGTGTTTCTTTATCTATCTGTCTCTTCGCAACTGTATAGCCTTCTGTCTCTGTGCCTCTCGCTGTCTCGCTTTGTCTCTGTCTCCTTCTGTCTTTGTCTCTCTTTATATCTTTTGTCTCCTTCCTTTTTCTTTTATCTGCTTATGTCTCCTATTATGTCTCCTTGTCTTCTTATATCCCCTTTCATCTTCTTTAGTCTTCTTGTGTCTCCTTTTGTCTCCTTTTGTCTCCTTTTGTCTTCCTTTTTGTCTCCTTTTGTCTTCTTTTTTGTCTCCTCTTGTTTCATTTTGCCTCATCTTGTCTCCTTTTATCTTCGCTGTCTCCTTTCATATCCTTTTATCTGCTTTTATCTTGCTTGTCTCCTTCTTTGTCTCCTTTTGTCTGTTTGTTTCGCAGAAGTGGTGTTTAGTAGTTGCGCTGTGGTCTGTTGATTTGTCTCTCGGCATCATCAGAGGGGGCCGCGGGTCTCCTGTACAGCTGGTAAGTCTGTCTCCTTTTGTCTCCTCCTTGTCTCCTCCTTGTCTCCTCCTGTCTCTTTATTTGTCTCCTCCTGTCTCTCTACTTATCCCCTCCTCGTCTTCTCTTTGTCTCCTTTTGTCTTTCTTTGCCTTTCCTTTGCGCCGTTTTATCTTCTTCTACCTTCTTTGGTGTCTCCTTTTGTCTCCTTTTGTCTCCTTTTGTCTCCTTTTGTCTCCTTTTGTCTCCTTTTGTTTCTTTTTGTCTCTTTTTACATTCTCCTCTTTCTGCTCTTTCTTTTGGTGTCTCCTTCCGCTCCTTTTGTCTCCTCTCAGCCCCTCATTCACATGTCTTCTTCTTGCTGTCTCTTCTGTCTCTTGGCTTGCTGACTGCTATCCGCTGTCTCTGTCACCTCAACATGTTGATGCAGCAGCTGCTGCAGCACTAGGTGTGTGTGTATCAGCAATATATATATATATATATATATATATATATATATATATATATATATATATAT